CCCGGAGGCAGGCCCCCCGGAGGCTCAGGCCGTCCAACCGGCCCCAAAGTTGGTCACAACCGCTCCCGTGTTGCTTCAGGAGTCGTTGTCGTTGTCCTCTCCCGATGAGGCACTGGCGGACCCAGCGCCTGGGCTGCCATCAATGGATGCCAGAGCACATCAGGACCTCCTGCGGCGCATGGCTTCCAACCTGGCTGTTCCGGTCGAGCCCATAATTGAGGATACCAATCCAATGGTAGACATCCTCACCGAGGATACCCCTGTGCGTTTCACTCTACCACTCAATAAAACTGTTTCAAAGCTTACTAAGCTTACTAAGCTGAGCAGGTATGCTTTCAACACCTGGCAGGCAGTCGAAAAATTTAGAGACCGACTCCCGATGGAGGACCGCCAGGAGTTTGCGGCTATGGCTTCCGAGGGTAAAGTCATTACACAAACTGCCCTCCAAGCGGCATTGGACACTGTGGACTCGGCAGCCCGCACCATGGCGACTGGTGTCGTTATGCGCTGTGGGGCGTGGCTCCACATCTCGGGGATTCCCTCGGACGTGCAGCAACTGGTAAACGCCAGCAACTTTGACCTCTACCCAAAAAGGGGTAGAAAGGCGTTATTTCGTCCCGCAGTCGGGTCACAAATTCCTTTACTCGCAGCCCATCCCGGGATCATTGGTCGTACAGGCCGCTGCCCAAAAAGAAAGGCTTCCCCAGCCCAGGCCTTCTCCAAAGGCAAGGGAGCCTAAGAAGCTGGACTTGTTGGGCTGCAAGGTCTACGCTACGGGTGCTCTGCAGCTCCGTATTGCTAACCAGCAGACGATGCTGAGCAGGTATGCTTTCAACACCTGGCAGGCAGTCGAAAAATTTAGAGACCGACTCCCGATGGAGGACCGCCAGGAGTTTGCGGCTATGGCTTCCGAGGGTAAAGTCATTACACAAACTGCCCTCCAAGCGGCATTGGACACTGTGGACTCGGCAGCCCGCACCGTGGCGACTGGTGTCGTTATGCGCTGTGGGGCATGGCTCCACATCTCGGGGATTCCCTCGGACGTGCAGCATACCATCCAGGACTTGCCTTTTGAAGGGAAGACCTTGTTCTCGGAGCACACAGATTCCAGGCTCCATACCCTAAAGGACACTAGGTCAACTTTGAAGTCCTTAGGCATACATACGCCAGCCACGCAGCGGCGACAGCT